CTTCATGCAATTCCTATAAATGAACAAAGGGTGTTGAAATCCCAGTAAATGAAAATGGATTAAAATATTTTTTTTTTATTGAAATGGATTGAAATTTTCTAAACCGCATGGATTGAAATGAATTGGCCTTTATAGAATAATGCATTTATTTCCACGAAGAGCAATCCATTTCAATTTATTTTAATCCATGATTTAAAACTTTATTAAATTTCGCGTTTAGTGGGATGGTTTCAGATTTTCAAAAGTACGCAATCGCGAACGTTGAAGTGAATTTTTTTTCAATCCATTTCAATCCATTCTTGTTCACTGGGAAGATCTCGGACGATTTTCCGAGAAGAAAACGTACCTTTCCCGCGCCTTCTGAGTGGGAATCAAATTAAGTACTTGTGCGGCAAGTAACGACTGCTTCGCCAGGTTATCCATAGACGCCCCGGTCGCTTGACCAAAGTAGCGATCTTTCTTTTTGGACAGAGCATCGTGGGACGTTGAACGTGGCTTATGCTGAATCGGCGCGCTTTTTATAGAATCTGGACTAGAGTGTCTCATAGAGCTCGTAGGTGAGTTCACGATCAAGTTATCGGCGGATCGCCTGTGAAGCAATCTACGGCGTAAATGTCCCGATATACTCGGCGATAGCGATCCGGAGGAGGAATATTCACCTGAAACAGAATTACACATTACGCGCGAGATTCTATCGATGGAAATCGTGCATCGTAATTATGCCAAATAAAAAGAAGAATCATTCATTCATTTCAAAAGCAAAGAACATTCACTGATAGAGCAAATATACTTCGTGCCTAAAACCTATATAGGTTTCATAACAAGATTACGGCATTCCGTAATGAAACCAAATTGCCTCAATTACCGCCTATTGCCTAGTCTTGGCATTAACGTGCAGAGTCGTACGTACACGATGAAATTAGATGAGATTTGTTTAACCAGATACGAACATATACTTTGAACTCATCATTTGTAATTAAACGTGTTTATACATATGTACATCAGAGTAGAATTACTTAATTAGCATATTCGAAAATAGAACAGTTGCTATCTGAATCTCAGTCAAGTAATTTATTAAATTAACTTTAAGTAAGTAGTACTGTAGCGTGTCGTGCTGATTTCAACATAGGTAATATAGCCTGCAGTATTTAACTTAAAGGTGTGTAAAGTTATGCACTCCATGAAATGAAAGTCATCCTATTGAATATTTACACCTAGTTTTCAGTATTCTAAATTAAGTAGGAAAAATATAGAGATATGTAAAAACACGAACAATTATAGCTGCGCACAAACAACATCACAGTATCAAACGTATGCCTTAATATTTATCTAATCTAATCTAAGATTAAATATAAGAATAAACTGAGAATATGAGATTAAATATAATCTAAGTACAAGAAAAAAAATGATATATATACATGTTTCTTAAATAAAACTAATGAAACGTATGTAGAACACACAATATATCGCCAATCTCTCATAATTTCTCATAATGCACGACACGTCGAAGAGAAAAATTCAATATATACTCTGTATAAAGAACAAAATGTAAAATGCTAGCACAAGCATAAGGAATCATAAATCTGTAAGCACAGTATTATAGCGACATAAGCTTCGCATGTCATTTTTGTACCTTCTTTCTCTGGCTTTTTGCAATCGGTATCGTGGTACTGAACCATACTGTAAACGTCTGTAGGTTTGTAGAACTGCCGTTCCATTTCCAGGAAGAAGTAAGTGATATATTTTCCCTTCGTAAAGTACTCATCCTTATAATATTTGCGATCTTTCTCAGACTCGATCAGATGATCGTTCTCATCTTCCGACGAGTCTTCGTACGAGGCTTCCGTCGAGTCTGCAGAGAAGTCACTATCTTCACTACTCTCTTGGGGAATCGCCTTTGTTTCTTTTACTAAAAATTTGCGCGTGTCGCCCGTGACGCTAGTCGCATTGCTAAGTGATTGTAATATTGCGCTTTTAGGGTCGGAATTGACGTGACTTTTCGTTCCGTTATCGTGATGCATTTTCCCAGTCCCAGTCCCGTCGCCCGGAGAGGACCGAGAACTCACGCCCGTACCATTATCCTGTTTTAGAAAAGCAATTTTCGTACTCATATGTCTGTCCGATCCCAATTCGGGATCCCGCCGCTCATTTTTCGCAACGTTACACTTCTGATGCTTTTCACTCGTATCGTCGCCTACATTAGGGAACCTGGAACTTTCACTACTTATAGTACCTACGTTCTTACAATCTTCTTGCATTTTATCGAACGAAATACTTTTATCATTATGCGTTTCTCTCCCAGACTGCGAGTGGCTATCGCTTGGAATCGTTGCGCGAATTTTATCGCCGACGGCTTTAGCAATCTTTTGATCGGAACTACACGATGCACCCGCCGAGTGGTCAGTTCGCCCGCTAGCAAACACTTTCTCCTGCTTATTATAGAAATCCGACCGATCCTCGTCGTCTTTCCCCTTAAATACGCTACGTAGCTTGTTAAGAAAACTTTTTCTTCTTTTTTTACTCGACATTTTCAAAGGATTACTCGCACTCTAAACGCGATAGATAAAGGCACGTGCCTCAAAGATAAGATCGATAAGACGTATTAACTCCACGTCCACAATACGAACACTGGAAGCGTTATATTCTCCGTTCTGTTATACACGCTTTAGAATGTAAGGCGGAGGGGATGTAACAAGGTCATTTGGTCATCATCAAATCACATTGCACAATACGCATAAAAAAGGAGTGCCACGGTTGTAATTAGGTATGAAGTAATAGAAATTTTTTCTTCTTCTAATCTTTTTCCTCCGCGTTATTTTAGAATAAATTAACAGTCATTTTTAGAATAAATTAACGCCTATTACTTTGCTATGGCAGTCGTTCATATAATATAAATGTTTATTTAAATACTCAAGCTATTTACTATTTTTTTGAAGTCAATTAAAAATATATAGAATAATAATGCATTGACGTTTTTTTTCTAATCTTTTCAGAACCGGCAACTTATCAGAATTCCGAGTGTGGAGTTTTTTACTGATTAAATGGGGGGAGGGGGGGGGATAGCAGTCCAAAAAAACTCTTACAAATTGTACTCTACTTTTTTTTACTGACATATATTTATTACTGTTTACAATTGCAAACATTGATTTCGTTAAACACTGCATTTGCGTATATAAATCAATTTACAAGTACATTCAAATCTATTGGATTTCAACAATGATATCGCAATGAATATGGAGGATTATTGCGGGGCTATTTAAGCGGCTTTGTTTCATCGTTGATTATACGTTTTCAATCTTCCAAATCATCGAAGTTGAAAACTGTTGAGTATGCTCAGCAATGCATGAATCCGTTTCCGTGATTGTGAGCAAAGTCCTAATTAATTTTGAGAACTCACTAATCATTTCACTCACTGGCAAATTTTCACAAGGTACCTATAAATTAATAAAAAAATACAAGCTCTTGACATCTTAAAGACACCTTTTAAATAACATATTTTTTTCTGTTATGTGGATTGGGGAACATGCCGAATTTCTGCATTTAGAGCGCGCTGATATAAATGCGCACCAATTCAACCAGTAAAAAAACTCTGTAATAAATAATTTTGGAAAAAAGCTAAATTTTGAGTGTGAAAATTCCACAGTTAGATCAATTTGAATGCGGAATGCTCTCTACACACTTCATATATGTATAAGTTGCCGGCGCTGCTTTCCATTCACGTTATTTTAGAATAAATTAACAGTCATTCTTTTAGATTCCTGTCATTTGCCAATCATTCGTAAATGATCAAATACTCAAATTAATTTTGAAGTCTAAGTGCTCGTCAATTAAAAATAAAGAATATTAATACAATGAAATTTTTTTTCTAATCCTTTTCCTCTACATCATTTTGAAATAAATTAACAGTCACTACTCTGAATGCTTTTGTTACTGCCAGTTGTTCGTAAATGTCTAAATCATTTTTGAAATTAAATGCTTGTCAATTAAAAATATAAAAAAATAATAGCATCTTGAAATTCTTTTCCTCCACATTATTTTAGAATAAAAATAAATTAACTATTACTATAAATGCTTATTATTTTGTTACTGCCAGTTGTTCGTGTATGTTTAAATCAAACCATTTCTGAAATTAAATGCTTGTCAATTAAAAATATAAAAAATAATAACGTCTTGAAATTCTTTTCCTTCACATTATTTTAGAATAAAAATAAATTAACTATAAATGCTTATTATTTTGTTATAGTGCCAGTTGTTCGTACATGTTTAAATCAAACCATTTTTGAAATTAAATGCTTATCAATTAAAAATATAAAAAATAGTAACGTCTTAAAATTCTTTTCCTCCACATTATTTTAGAATAAAAGTAATTTAACTATTACTATAAATGCTACTATTATTTTGTCACCGTTAGTCGTTCGTAAATGTTTAATTTGTCATAACGGGATGTGTTCTTAGTACGCATACCTGAAGTAGTGCTCATTGTAAAGTAATACTCAATTGTAATGTAGTGTTTCCAAGCTTACCTTCTATATACGTATTAGGACGCTGCTCCCTCGCCATCGCTACGTTACTCCTTCTGACTACAGTCTCCTGTACCGCTTGAGCCTGATCGTTCGCAACATCATGCATCTCCTCCTGCTCGACCAGCACGTCCGTTTGACGGTCCTGATCCTCATTGATGGAGGCTATCTCGGACTTGACCGAGGTACGGCTCAACGTCATCGGGGACAGTCTGCTGACGGTGAGGCTCTGGGGTGGCGTCCTGCTGCGCTCGGTCATGGCGCAGCACAGGGACAGCTTGGTGCTGGTCTGCGAGCCGTGCTGCGAGTTCTCGATCTTGGAATTCTTATTCGAGTCCCCGTCCTTGTACGAGGACTCCAAGCAGCCGACCTTGGTCTTCTTGTTCATGAGCATGCGGCAGAGGGACTTTTTCTTCTGCTTCGACTTCGGGGACACCTCTACCTTGTTCGAAACGCCGGGGACGTCATTTCCCTCGCTCTGCTCCATAATACCCCCGCGGCATTTAACGCAGGCTCGACAAGAGATTTGACACCCTCTTTTATATTACACGCCTCTTCGTAAGTCGCTTCTCGAACGGAGATAGCAAGCCCGTCCACACGTCTCTCTATTGTATTGGCTTATATAGAAAAAAAAATTCCTTTTATCCTATCGTTTTCGCGCGGTAGTCACGCGTCAAAGTATATCGCAGAAAAACTCTCAAAAATATTTTCTTTATATTTCAAATCATCGGTAAGCTCTCAACGAATAGTAAAAAATATAGATAGTTTACACGTATAAATCATTTCCGTTTCGCGGAGCCGCGTACGTAGTGAAGTACATCCAATATCCGAGATGTTTCATCTCACGTCTCGCGTCACATCTTCTTAGCATTTATTATAAAGAGTACCGCTGTGTCGCGTGCGCTTCACTGTCAAACCGTAGTGTCTATAATTTCTGCGGACGATCGACCGCGTCGATTATTAACGCGCTATACAAACGTCGGGGTAACCCTCGTAAGTAATCACGACCTGTAATGCTTTGGTATATCGGCCCCGCTCGGCTTTCCTCCTCTCTTTCTCTCTGTTAAGTCGAACGTTCAGTCATGCGGGAGGATATCCATGGTGACACCAAGTAATCATCACTTGGGGGGGGGGGTGGAGGGGAAGAGGGTATCGACGTGCGATATCAGCGATACTGCTCTATTGGACTAGTACTTTGGACTAGAATCGAACGGCTGCCCCGATCGAGCGTGTTGCAGCCATCAGGAGCCTCGAGAGCACGACGAGTCCGCGCGTTTCCGGCCCCTTTCTCGATCCCTCGCGAGGAAGAGTCCGCTCGCGGCGAGCTATGCGCTTACGTCGAGCGACCGCGTCGTTGCCCATCGACTGCCGGCCACTCGCACCACCTCGGACGTTCTCGTCGCGTTTCACGCGTCTCGGTTCATCAGCGGTAATTCAGCGGTCGAAACCACCTCGAAACTAGTCGAAACCACCAATCACGACTCGCGCGCGCGGCTGGCTAATTCGGCTTTAACTGCAGGCTGCAGGACTGGCCTGGGCCACTGGTGGTGGATAACGTGGATATACTGCGGCGACTGAACCGGACGACTGGACGCGCGTCGACACGTCATTCACGGACGCGCCGAAATCCATACGAATAGAAACCGCCGGGGCGCAGCGACTCGATCGAGCGGAAGGGCGTCCCTACGCGGGCACCCGGACCTCGGCCTCCATCCCCGCAACGGCGGCGACGCGTCGGGCACATTTCACCGCGCGGTTCACGAGTCGCGCCGCCGGGCCGCGGGCGTGTGCATTTCAGTCAGTCCATTTCTCTCCCTTCGTCCTTCTCTTTTCCACCCTCGTCCACCTTCCCACACACGGGGGAGTATAGCGAGGGCTCGCTCGCCCCGCGCGCACACCGCGAAATCGCGGTGCCCGCATACGCCGCAACCCGCTGCAGCAGACGACGGCGGAGCGTCCAGGTGGATTTAACGATCGGCCGAGCCCTCGCTCGGGTCCGTTCTCTCACGGGAGGCGAGCCAGCCGCCACGTTCCCGTGACGGAACGTCGCGTGTCGGAGGCCCCGCGAGACGATACTCCGGCGACACTGTACAAGCAGCTCGAAATCCGCGACCAGCGCGACTGTCAAATCGAGCAGACGACAGTGGAGCGGTCGCCATATTGATCCTTGACGTATAATATATGTATGTGCATCGCATACATACGTACGCGAGCTGGTAACGAGCGTCACCGAGCGTCGCCGAGCGGAGTGTGATGTCAGACCGCCATGTTTACTCCAGCGATGTTTTGACAGCTGATGCGGTTTCTCATGAATGAAAGGCCGCGGAATAAAAAATTTGTTTGAAACTTCTTAAATTAATAACTGTAAGAATTGCAAGAAGTCCATTTTATACATAGATTTGGTGGGCTCCTCGCTGTATGTACAGAGAAGAGAAATATGTCAAATTACAAAATGTAACGGTAAAAATTATAAAATAGAATATATAAGATTATAAAACTACGTATTGGTATGTATGTATGTATGTAACATACATACATAGCTACAGAAAGGCAAGAATCAGTCATATTAATGATCGAATCATTAAGGCCCATTTACATAAGTCGCAAACGCGGACATTTCTCTCTCCTTTTTTTTTCTTCGCGTTTGCGTTTGCGTTTTGCGTTTGCAACTTATGTAGATGGGCCTTTAATGTCCAATACGTCGATTAATTTTAATTTGTTATAACTTCCCATACAGAACAAAATATATAATAGATATCTACTGGATATTCACATATCTATACACTATCCATATCCATTATGGATAACTAGTAGATATCTAATAATTATCTACACATCCATATTCACTAAAC